TGTCTTCAGTTCGAAGTGGATTCTGATCTCAAGTGGGTAGATGGTGAGTTGATGGACATGTCTATCAATGTTCTGCTACGAGCAAAACAAACTCCTTGGTATCTGGTAAGATGACATTTATTTGCTATAATTCTTTTGCCCCGGCACACGTATGTCTGCCATTTTAATTGACTCACCATATAGAGGGATGTTCTTCTGTCTCTTAATCTCTCAATTAGGAAGACAATACTGGTCGGGTAAATGTCGTGGTAGGCTACGATGCTGTAGGGTTTTCTAAAATTCTAAAAGAGTATGTAGGTTTGCCGAACATGAAGAGTGAATCCGATTTCTGTGAAATCATTTTGTCAGCCAAAGAAGGCTCTAAGGTTCTTAATTTGTTCCTTCAATGTTTTATCTTTCTTTGTTTGTCCCCATAGAACACCTCTTTTCCCTTTTGTTTGAAACCAACAATGTGATGTTCTTAATGTTTTTTTCTTCTTTAAGGTGGTCTATAGGGATGCTCTTGATATTGGTAGATACTTGACTTTTGTCGGGGAGGTAAAGGAAGCCCCTTTTGTTTCTTCTTTTATTCAAGAAATGTGGATCAATTAAAAGTGGCGTTTTTAGCGGTTTAGTTTCATCTAATATTGCATCCTTCTCTGTTGTTGTAGGCTGCTAGAGACAAAGCCGGTAATCTCATGATTCAAAAACCCAAGGAACAACCTTTTAGGGTCTTCGATGGAGAGGGCTCTTTTGATAAAATGGTTGACAAGCTGAAGTCAAATTCAGAGTAAGGACAAACTCATCACGTTTCCGTTACTTGGGAGGTTAGGTGATGAATCATGTCCAATGTTGTGTTATATTTTTGCAGGTTTTATATTTTCTACTCTAAGATCTTCGGAACCGTTGCTGTGGCTGTAGCCATTGTGTACGGTGTGGATTTTATAAGGTGGAAGAAAAAGAACTCTGGAAACAACAGCTAAGAGCTAAATCGGACTACAAAGAAATATGGCATCACTTTTAGTCTTCTACCGTTAGGCAAATCTCAATGAATATTATAAATCTATTATATTATGGGAAATTTGCTAAATTGATTCAGTTTGAAATGTGTTGTCTCAATAACCTTTATATTCATATCTTTTTGTCCGAATAACTTTTGCATTTTCTAAATCCCAATTTTATCCTTTAAAATTAGTAAAAATAACGATACTAATGTCATGCTTTTGTATATTTAGATGATAATAAAGTCATTTTTGATGAAATTTATAACAAGAGTATATTATCTAGATATAACAGAAATAAATCTATTTACAAATTGTTAAGCTCTCATCAGTTTACGAGTTGTGTAAGTTTCTTCATCGACGAGGAGAAGAGAATGGTTGTGTGTTGTGATAGCGCACGCGGACTAGGAGACAAATCCATCAAAAGCATGTTAAGCGTGTTATTGGAGAGTAAAGGGAAATCCATTTTGGAGAATCTATATTCAAACCATAGATCACAAGGATTTGTTGTCAATTATGTTCCAAGTTTGGTTCAAATCCAGACGTAATTTCTTGTATTTCTCTTCTGTTTTTTTTGCTTAATTAATGTCGTTTGATCGTCTATTCATATAATTTGGTACTTTACCCTGTTACTTAATGATTCCTCCATTCACACTACATTCACGTTTCATCTAAAAATTGTAGCCAGTTTGTTGATTTACCTGAGTCTCACACAAAGTATTGCTACATTAATTGGAAGAAGCAGCATTTTTTGTTGTTGAAGAAGATGCAACATATTGCTAGGACTCAACTTCTCAACATTGCAACCTTTACTGGCTAGAGAGGATTACAACGAAGTTCTTATCCTATGCTGGAAATATCAAACTGATTGCATCAGTTATATACGGGATGGTGTTTTTGGAGCCAAGTGGTTTTATCACCCAAAAGAGTTCTACAACAAGGTGGATTCGATCCCTTTGTGATGCGTTCTGTTTTTGGATGCGTTCTTGTAAAAAGACAACACACAATTGGCTGCTAAGTGCCCGGGTTGCTTGGGATGACATTTGCAATTAAAGCAGGTGGATTGGGATTAAGGAAACTTGAAGACTTTGAAACAATCTTTAAACTGAAGCATATTTTGGTGCTTTCCACAAAATCAGGGTCTTTGTGAGTAGCTTGGCTGAACTCCAATGTTTTTTGGTGAAAAAAAAGCTTCTGGACTATTGAAGCGTCAAGCCGTTACTCGTGGAACGTTAGTAACCTTGTCAAACTGAAAATGATACCAAATGTGAATGATACCAAACTAAATTTGGTATAGAGAACGAGGTTTGTGTCCCCCTATAAGTTCCTAATAAATTTGTTTCTGTAAACTAAAAATGAGATAATTTCATTTGATGGAACTCACAACTTTTATTGCGTGTCCCATTCAAAAATTATTTTTCATCTCTCCCTGATCACTCTATCTTCTCGGTAAAACGTTTGCCGCTTTCTGTTACAAATCATACCCTTTACTAAAACCAGCAAACAATTTTTGAAGCAACCTTCTCACTTTGCTTACAACTGAACTAGCGCGATCACATTTCAAAAGTGACAGTCCATGCAATAACAACGACCGCTTAGGTAACTTTATTCCCATTTTTTTTTCTTGTTGTAATGCGCGCGGAATGTTCCCAAAGTACCAAAACCGATTGCTTGAGTAACATAATTGTAGTAGAGTAAAAGCAAGTGAAACCTTCTCCATTGATAATGCTTTACTCAACCATCCCAAAAAAATCTCAATATATTCCCACAACACCACAAAACGACGTCGGACACTCATCTTTATATGTCAACAAAGCAAGATAATTAAGAAGAAGAATCATAACTACAAAGAAAAACAATGAATCTCTCTCAACTCTTCATCACCATCTTGTTTTTATCCTTCCTTCTCTCACAAGTAAACTCAACAAATGATAATATGAAAGAACAAACCTGCAAAACATGCACAACCAAATCCACAATCTTCGATTATAATTTCTGTGTTTCCTCTTTGGACAACACTCCAATCTCTCCTCCTCTGACCAATCTCTCTTCTCTTGCCCTAATTCCAATGCTCCAAGCTCTTGACAACGCCACCGCAACATCTTCCACCATTCAACAGCTAATGAGCGACGGAGGAGGATTTGAAGACGACAGTTACGGGCGTGCTTGCCTCCGTGACTGTCTCGAGCTTTACGAGGACGCAGCGGAGAGATTGGTGGAAGCCGTGAGGGTTTTTGTTACGAGGGAAGAGAGAGAGACTGTGAATGTGATGGTGAGCGCCGCCATGGAAGCCGCCGTGACGTGTGAGAATGGGTTTGGGGAGAGAGACGGCGAC